CCATATTTGCCAGATATTGCTCCCAGTGATTATCATCTTTTTCGGAGTTTGCAGAATTTTTTAAAAGGAAAAACTTTTGAGGATGAGAACAATGTAAAAAAGGCTATTTCTGAATATTTTGATTCAAAACCGAAATCATTTTACAAAGACGGGATTAAAAAGCTACCATCAAGATGGGAAGAAATTGTACAAAATAATGGTGAATACATTATAGATTGAAATAAGATTTAATTAAAATTTTTTGTTGCTTTTTTTGTAGATAAAAATGCGCACGAACTTATGGACTGACCTGATATATTTAATAAAAATCTTTGTTTTAACGAATGTACAACGTTGCGGCTCGGTAAATACGTCAACACTGAAATGAAAATCAGTCTAGCATAGAGAAAATCAGGGAATTACACCTCGAAACGGCGAATTGAGCAGCGGCGTTATTGTGAATCGGCGTAAATTGAACCGGCGTAAACCGAGGGTTACCTGTAGTTATAACAGCTTACCTGCCCATACCGAGAATACCTTTAGAACCTCTTTGTAGACAAAGAAGACGTAATTTCTCTACTGGATCCACTACCATCGCTAATTTTCTAGTGGCACATTGTTTCATAACATTTTCATTTCGGGTCTGAGCTGAGACTGGCCGAGGCATTTTTTTCTGTAACAAAACAAAAAATACTTATTTAATATAAATATAACATTAAAATACACCAGAAAGTTATCTATTTAAATAATGATGTAGTCTATAATTTTTCTGGTTTTCAATCATATACGAGTATATGAAAGAAACTTTTCTGAAGATTATCATTATTAGATAGGCTTATATAAGAACTTTACAAGTAAATGGCACTTTGAGAATTATATTTAATATAAACCATATCTTTATTAAGTTTCTGAACTTCCGTTACGGCAAAAATTTGAAATTTAATTATAATAATAATGCAATTTACCGAATCATAAGGTGTATTTATCTATAATTGTGATACTGATGGAACGAATAGAAAGAACACATAGAAAATAGCACAAACAGAAATCAATAAAAAAAATGTTAAGTAATTCGATGTTAGTTCTGGAAACAAAATTGGATTTCGGTAAACCATAGTTTTAGCAAAAATCGAAAATCGGTTTTGCAATGGCAATGAAATCAATATTATTTAATATATAAATGGCTTGCTGTATGGTATATTACAAATGTAAATCCGTCTCTGTAATTCAAAAAAAACACACTTTTGGTATTGCTGTGAGATACGTCTACCAAAGTGTGTTTTTTTGGATTACAGAAACGGATTTACATTTGTAAGAAATCAATATTGTTATTATGTTATCATTGTATTTATCTGCCGTTTTTGACTTTTAGTTGGCAATAATGCAAGGTATGCTTAGATTTAAGATGATTCCACATAATTGATGTACTACCAGAAAACCAGAAAATTTCGGTGTAACATTACAATTTGTACACGGCATCAATTTATCATCCTTCACTTTTTAAAAATAAAGCCACGTTTAAATTTTAAAATTAAAATTAACATAAAACTAACGTGAATTAATTTTAAAACGGTGAAGTTTTAAAATACTACTTCTTAGATACATAGACTCCAGCTTTTATCAAAATCGAAGAAACAATGACTAGTTTTTTTGGCAAGAATAATAAGTGATATAGACATATTCTTGAATCTTGTCTAATATTTACTGTACTACTTTATTAATATTAATAAAATACAATAATAAAACATTAATTCTAGTGAATTCAAAGTGATTAAAATTTTTCATATTCTTCGTTGGTTAGTGTTTTCAGTGTGACGTAGCTGTTGCCCCTTCAAATACTGCTAATATTGAAAATTGATTATTTAGAAAGCTTGTTGAGAATTTAGTGTTATTTTGCAAGTTAATTTAAAATTTTTAGAAATCTAGTAGATAGCTGAATTAATATCAAATTTATTACATTGTAAAGAAAAAATTCTAAAAATCCAGGACGTAATACGTTTATATTGTAAAAATACAAAATATTAAAGACTAATAAATACATAATTCTTGTCTTCTCCTGTCGTTCTCTTTCAACATCACCATGTTCCTGTGATGTTGAAAGAGAACGACAGGAGAAGACAAGAATTATGTATTCGTATTGGTCTTTAATGCTTTTATTTTTACAATGTATTTTTATATTAATATCAAATTTGTTTAATAAAGAATTCTTAGAGAAACTTAATTAATATGCATCAATGTCCTTAATTTAAACAAATTATTCTTTCAATCACCATAACAGTGTATTTCTATTAATAGGACTTATCACACTGGTGTATAAGATTACAGCAACACAGTCACACAGATNCTCCATTATATCTGTATGGTTCGATTTTTCTTTCCATAACTATTATTACATTCATTATTTTCTAATGATGCTTGAAGAAGAAGAATGTTTTCAACAGAAAAGATCAATATAATTGAAGCTGTCAACCTCGACTAAATTCATCTTAATCGTAATCGATGTTAATAAATCAGTATTTTACCCCCTTGTATTATGACTTAAACTCTTTCTTCACGTACAGTACTTCACTGATGATCAGTGCTAAATTTATACATTTTATCATTTGAAAAACGTTTATATATAAAAAATAATTCAGTTTTTCCGGGTATAAAGTATATTTGATTGCCTGTTATTGGTTTTTAGAAAATGAAGAAAAAAGTTTCAATTTGTCCAAAATTCTGAATATAGAATAGAAAATAAATTAGTATTTATAAGAAAGAATATTAATTAATATTTAGGCCATAGGATTTGTGCCAAAAAAGAGGTGACACGCCAAGAAAATAAACTAAAACGTTATAGAAACTTTTCAATTTTGCTTTTTAAGTTATATTTAATTTATCGTTAATTTATTTTGAACAGAAAGTAATAAGGTAGAGTCTGGTATACTAATATGAATTTATTCATCTTATAGAAAACAATTTATTTTTTATAAAAAAAAAACTTTTAAAAGAGAGAATGTTAGTGGCCAGAAAATATAAGCATTTAATCTATATTGAGTTAATAACGCATTTAAAAATTGATTCTTTTTCTTATTTCTGTTTTATTTAATATTTTTAATCAATAATTTGATTCGTTTTTACTAAACATCATTTCCTTCGGTTCATATTTTAATATAAGCAAATGATATTAAATTATTTACGTCTATTAAAATATGAAAAACTATTGTTAATTTTACAAATGCTTTAAATAGTTTAAATAATTGAAATTATTAGTTTGCAATTATGTAAAGATTATTGATGTGTCTGTCTTCTTATTGTCATGGTTTTAATTTCGTTCGTTTAATTGTTTTTCTTTATACAAGTAGAATCAATAATAATGCTCCTATCCGTAATTCACGTGCCCGGATATCTTGATTTATGTATAATATTCTATTTATGACCATATATATATATAATATAATGATATATATTACATATCGTAAAACATGGTTCAAATTTCTAAACGAAAAATGTTAATGACTGTTTATTTCACTCCTAGTAGAGATGGGTTTTATAAGAAATTATAAATGGTAATAACGATTAAAATCATCATTAAGTCCGACCCTATTGGAAATACACACGACTCCCTTTATCTCCCCATACCCTCGACCTTTAATCACCAAAATTTAATAGCATCAATCCTCCTACTACACTCACCTCCATGCATAATTTCAGAAATTTTCGACCAGAAGTACAGGAGTTATTAAGCTTCAAAGAGGTGAACAAAATCGTGCTCCCCACGCACCAACATCCATGCATAAAGAAAAAAAAAACTATTTTTTTCATTTCTCGACGTTTTAAGGTCCCCTGAGTACAATAATGCAAAAATCTTGGAGGAGGGTCGATTTTTGACCGATCGCCATACTTTCCCGGCTGTTTAACAGCCGGGAAAGTATGGCGATCTTTACAGCCGGGAAAGTACTTTATATTTTTTACTTTATATCTTTACAGCCGGGAAAGTAAAAAATATAAAGTGTTGCAACGAACTAGTCCATTATTCAAGAGATTAATATGTGACTTGAATGAACAATAGGCCTACACACCATTGAATTATGTCATTAGAAACAGTGCCACAAATAAATCAATTTTTTAAATGAAAATATTTTTTAAAGAAGCTGCACATAAAGTAATATCTCACAGAATAAAAATTTGTTAAATGATAATTAAAAAGTATGTTATTTCTTATAAACACAATTTAACCAGTAATAGGCCTATAAAGTTGAAAGAAACCAATTTCTGTTTTTCTTTCTTTCTTTTTTGATAACGTACCGACATTACTTTAAAACTAAATAAAGTTATTAAAAGAATCTCTCGAATTATATAATTCATGATTTGAATAATACATATTAATTAAGCAAATTAAAACCTTTATTACTACTCTTTTCTAGTAATACATAATTATGTAAACTTATAAGACCAAGCCTTATTTGTGCTATTTTTTGATATCTTATCACTAGATTTATTGGGTCATAGAAAAATTTTCACAGAATCAAAAGTATTACGATTTAAAAAATATGCGGGAAATATCTTCCGCCTATTTTTTAAATTGTAATAAATTTGAAGCCAAATTGAATAAAACATTAACGTATTACAATATTGATGCATTAATGTAGTACGCGACTGAATGCATGGGTTGCGAATAGGCTATATATCTATAGGTTTGTTTGATGCATTTCGTGTTTAAAATTCTTTTTATATAATTAATTATAGACATTTTAAGAAACACTTTCTAAATTCATACATTATTTGCATAAAAACGACATAACCCAGGATTGTCTTCATTTGAAGCTTTAGAGAACTTGCATAAAAATATAATTTTTCGAGTCTATTCTTTTTATCTTTTTCACAGACCAGCTCAGAAGTAACAGTAAATTGGCTTGAAGATAAAACAAATCTTTAAAACAACATATATAAATTACTAAAAAAATATCTTTTTCATCCTTTTTTTAAATATTTTTAATCATTATGTTTGTCTTTTTCTTAATGTTTTAGCCATTTTATTAGTAAGAATGTTTTCTCCATTATATCTGTATGGTTCGATTTTTCTTTCCATAACTATTATTACATTCATTATTTTCTAATGATGCTTGAAGAAGAAGAATGTTTTCAACAGAAAAGATCAATATAATTGAAGCTGTCAACCTCGACTAAATTCATCTTAATCGTAATCGATGTTAATAAATCAGTATTTTACCCCCTTGTATTATGACTTAAACTCTTTCTTCACGTACAGTACTTCACTGATGTGAAGTACTGTACGTGAAGAAACGTTTTATCATTTGAAAAACGTTTATATATAAAAAATAATTCAGTTTTTCCGGGTATAAAGTATATTTGATTGCCTGTTATTGGTTTTTAGAAAATGAAGAAAAAAGTTTCAATTTGTCCAAAATTCTGAATATAGAATAGAAAATAAATTAGTATTTATAAGAAAGAATATTAATTAATATTTAGGCCATAGGATTTGTGCCAAAAAAGAGGTGACACGCCAAGAAAATAAACTAAAACGTTATAGAAACTTTTCAATTTTGCTTTTTAAGTTATATTTAATTTATCGTTAATTTATTTTGAACAGAAAGTAATAAGGTAGAGTCTGGTATACTAATATGAATTTATTCATCTTATAGAAAACAATTTATTTTTTATAAAAAAAAA